AGACTCAAAAGAAGAAGCACTACTGGCCATTAAACTCCAGAAAATAATATTCAATCCCTAACAAGCAATGAAATGCAACTAACAAAGAAATGCTATTTTTCTGCCTATTTGAATGACAAAGATCATTTTAATGACACCCAGTGTTTTTAAGGGTGTGAGGAAACAGGTGAGCACTCTCAAAAATTATTGGGGGAGTATAAATTACTACAGGCTTTTTTAGTGGGGGGCATTTTTATCAAAAACCTGAAACTGTTTATATTCTTTGACCTAGTAATTCAATTTCTAAGACTTTATCCTATGGAAACAGAGATGTGAACAAAGATAAATATTCGGGTATTTAATTACCAGCATCATTTTTAATAAAAAAACACTGGACATAACCTAAACATTTAAATGATTAAAAACAAGTATGGCCCAAACATAGCTGGAACAGTGGACTTTTAAAATACACATAGGAGAAGTTTGTCGTCATGCCGTCCCGTCCCCCACCGGCCCCCCGATGCAGACAGGAACAAGGGTCACTCTGCCCCGCTAGTTCCTGTATTCAAGTTAATAATGATTCTCTGTACAACCCTTTTCACCTTTCCAGGGACAGCAACATCCAGTATCTCTCTTGAACCTCAGAAGAACATAGCATGATTGCCTGATATTAGTCCGATGTTGTAGATGAGAAAACAGAGGCTTATTAATGAAGTGACTTTTTCCCACCTATGGTAACTCTCACTTACTGAAAACCTACAACATGCTAGTCTAGCCTCTTTCACGTGTTATTATGCATTTAATAACATTTTAGAAACATTTAAGAAATGTGCAAGACCTGGTGTTAGTTGCCTAGGAAACAGCACTGAATGGGACACTCCCTATTAAACACATACTGAATATATAAACATTAACATTTCCAATGACATTATCATCATGAGGCCCATTTTGCAGATGTGCAAACTGAGGCTCAGAAAGCTTAGGCGACTTGCCCCAAGAATGCCTGGCTTCAAAGCCACACACTTCCCATTATTCCCAGAGACTCTAAATTGCACAATCATCTCGACGTCACCCAGGGGAAGGCAGAGAACCAAACACTCCCTGTCTATGGCAGGGGAGGGAGAGAGGCAAGAAGGGCCAAGCCCTTATGCCCAGCTCCTCCTGCACCTACTGCCAACAACTAGAGCAGGAAAATGGATCCCACCTTCTATTTTCCGTTTCCCATTAAGCTTCCCCCTCCTCTCCCCAGGGACTGCCTCACCCAAAGGGGCTGAACTGATTCCTGCCTACTCAGGGCCATTTGGGGGTTCTTGAAGGTCCCCACCCCCACTTCCAAGTATCTCCCTCCCTAGCTTTACTCTGCCTGGAATCCCACCATTAGTAACTTTCAGGTGTGGGAACTCCAGGCAACACATATTCCTGAGAAGGGGGTCATCAATCTCTAACTCCGCACACAGCAGCCCTGCATGCCTGTACCTGGCTTGCCCACGTTTACAGGATCAGCTCTGCACCGGGCCAAGTGGGAAGAATGGGAAGGGGGGTATGGCCACTTCAGAGTAACTACAGGGGTAAGGGGACAGGTTGAGAGCCAGAGGGGGCATACTCTCAGCACCTGCGGAGGGCCAGAGTCACCCAGAAACAGCAGCACCAAGGCAGTGTGATACTGCCGGCTGACCCTCCTAGCTACACAGGACCAGGAATAAATGAATGACTTGGAAATTATCTTCTGGGAAGACAGAACCACCACATTCTAGATGGCTTTTACCAACATTAAGACAGCCTTGTAAATGAAGCAGCAACATTTCCAGCCTGCAAAACAAAAAATGCTTCTGCCAGCACACCTTTCACCTGGAAAATCCCCGAGCAGCATTCATTTCCCTTATCCAGGAGGCATGATTACCTGTCCTTGGTGCTTACTTCCAAAACCTCCAAAGAAGAAATGAGTGTCTAAGGGGGGCCCGGGATTTTGGAGACCAGCTGGAAACCTCCCATAAGCCATTTCAGGAGAGTAAGTACAAAGGCTCAAACCTGTCCTGTGGCCCTCGAGCCCCCCAGAGCCCAGCTGTGCCCACCAAGCCCTGGCTGGCCTGACCCTGGCCTCACAACCAAGACATCAGCCCTCTCCCCCAACCAGCAGTGCTCAGCGGCCCCACACCTGGCTAGACTCCTTTCCCAGGGAGCCAAAAGATTCCAACACAGAACCAAATGGTTTCCAGCCTCCAGATGAGAGAATTCCAGCGCAAAAAATAACCTCTACAACACAGCAGTTTGCAGACCACAGCAGACAGCATGCAACAAAGCCGCTTCAGCGGCCCTAAAGCAGACAGCGTTATCCAAAGTCTGAACCCAACTGGCCGCCCCAGAGTGCCCCATGCTCTTTACTGACAGGCGGAAACCACGAGGACCAGGGCTCACACTTGCTACCCTAGAAGCTTCCGCCCTCCTTCCCATGCCTATCCCTTCATTGAGGCTGCACTTACCCCCTCCCTGGCCAGGAACATGGCAGTCCAGTGGGAGTCCCCTGGAACCAGGATCCAATCCCCTCCTGACTGCTCAGCCAAGCCAAAGGCAGCCCATTCTGTCCTCCCAGCCTTCAAGAGTACAACCACACCACGTCGGAGTAGAGGGAGGCTCCTCCTCCACTCACCCAGGTTTGACCATGAGCGTTTGGGGAGGGGGGTTCCACCATAGCTGGTTTTACTCAGCCAAGTCCACACAGGACGACTCCAGAGACTGCCCCAGAGAAGTATCTACCCAAGAGAAATATCTGCCCATCCATCCCCGAAGCAGCTGATAAATCTATTATTTCTAAGCCACGCGGTAAAGCAGGAGATCCCAGTCTCCTGACAAAGCCTATTTCAGCTCCAAGGCTGGGTCCAGGGATTTCAAACTCAGTCTCTCTGCCTGTCCGTGAGAAATCTGGGCTCCCTTCCTGTGCCAGAGAAGCCACCAAGCCAGATTTTGTTTATAGAAAATTAATAAGACAATTCCACACCACTGCCAGTGACATTCTGCTCCAACTGCTACTGTTAGCACCGTTTCTAGAAATGGGCTTACAGTTTCACTCCCGAACCCCAACCCTCCCCCCGCCACCTATCGCCCCTCAGGCATTGTAAGCAAGGCTGACCTGACCTGAGACCAAGCTGGGCAGGACCTGCTTGAGGTCATCCAGGCCATGCCCCGACCTCCAGCCAGGAGGCTGGGTTGCCAGCCAGACTTGCCGGCTTCTTGGTGCAGGCTTCCCGCTGGAGGGAGGTAAACATGGCATGCATGCTGTCTGCTCCCGGGAGGGAAGACACACTCAGAGGCCGGACCGCCTGCTGTCTCTCCTGCTCCCCGGACAACCGACACATGCACACAAAACGGGGTACGTACACAAGCCCCCTCATGCGGGTGCAGAGGGTCCTGACCCCCGCCAAGGAAAGCGCAGAGAAAGGCATGTTCCTGGGGAAGAAAGCCGGAGGCAGGGGCCGGGCGGAGGGAGGAAAGCAGCAAACCGGGTGGCCTGCCGCCCAGACAATAACAAAGATGGGAAGCGAGATTTTCAAAGACGCAGTGGCTGCACCCAGCGCTGAGCTCTGGCCTGGCTGCATGCTCCTGCCAGGGCACGCCTGGTCCCCTGGGGCACCACGGCCATCAGAGAAAGGCTGAGGGTCCTGCCTCAGGCTGGGCTTGGCAGCTGGGGCAGGAAACCAGCTGCAGGCAGCGGTGGGGATGCATTGGAGAAAGCAGCTCTGGGCTGATGGAAATTAAAGGTCTAGTAATTCTCCCCGGGGATGGGAGGGGTGCTCTCCAGGAAGATGCCAGGGGTCAGTTAAACAGCCACTCAACCTTGGGCAGGAGTTGGGCTATAACTTGTACTCCTCTGCCCGCTGGAACCAACGGGGAGGAGAGAGACATTTTTATTCTACCTGTGCCTCCCCTACAGGGAGTGCCAACTTGCCAATCATACACAGGGGCACAGCCCTATGGAGGCAGATGCCAGGGGCCTGAGATGTCGGGGCTGAGTGCTGAAAAGGCTCCTTGGTGCCTGCCTGTTCTTTCACCTCCACTAGCTGAGCAGGGACACGTTCTAACTGGCACCGGAATCTATCACGGTGCCTGTGCCCAAGTGGAAAGGTGCCGTGGCAGGTACGGCTCAAGGAGGGGGACTCGGCCAAGAGACTGTATCCGCCCAGTGCCCCCGCACCCGGACAGGATGGCTTGCCCTTGCGAGCTGAAGCCTGCTCTGTTGCTGGTGACTGGGAGCAGGCTGAACCACCTCCTTCCTCTCCTCCTCTGCCCCACAAGCCACCTCCCCCTGGAATTTCCACACCTGCTCCTGGCTTGCCCAGGAAAAGGGAACAGGGAACAGGAGACACCCCTGGGAGTGGAGAGGTGAGGGAGGGAAGCAGCTGCCCAGGCTGGAGAGGATGAGGCCCTTCTTCCCTAGCCTCAGGCAATGCCACTGAGCTCAGAGCCCCGGCACTGCCCCCTCTGCTCGCCCCAGCCGCCAGCGGAGCACGCGCCCTACTTAGAGCAGATGTGCCCACTAAGCGGCCCAGCCCCCTGCTCCTCCCCTCCAGATGTTCACCCTTTTCCTCACCACTGGGTCTCGGCAAAACCCAGCCGAAAATACCTTTTGTATCGGACACCCGGAGGCTCCAGAGGCAGGGGGATGGGTCCTGGGGGTGGAGGAACCACTTCGGTCCCCAGCTCCGGGCACTGCACCGCCCGGGAAACAATGCCCACCTCGGCGAGGCGAGGCGAGGCAGGACTTCTCGGCGAGGGCACTTCGCGTCCGGCCTCGCCCCGGGCCGCGGGCACCCCCTCCTCACCCCGCGGGAAGAGAGTAAGGTCCTCTCGCCGTGCCCCCCCCCGTCCGAGGCGGCCCCACAAGTTGCCGGAGGGCGGCGTGCGGTGCCCTCCGGCTTCCAGCGCGCCCCAGCCCCGGCTCTCGCTTTGTCCCCGCGCCCTCCGGGGCGCATCCCGGGGCAGGGGCGCGCGGAGGCCGGGCCGGGCGCTGGCGGCGGTGGGCTCACCTCTCATTGTCCGCGGCGGCGGCGGCGGTGGCGGCGGCGGCGCTCCGGAACCCCGGCAAGATGTGGCGGAAGCTGTGGTTGCGGTCCAGCTTGGGCTGGCTCTTGGTGCGCTTGATGGAGCCCTTGAGGCGGCGGCTGAGGAAGCCCTGCGCGCGGGGCGACAAGAGGGGGAAGGGGAGGCGGGGTTAGCGCGGCGGCGGCGGCGGGCCCGGGACCCGCGCGGAACCCGCGCCCTGGCTCGGGCGGCCGCGCGGCCGAGGGCGGGCGCGGGCTCGGGCTCGGCCCCAGCTG